CCCCAAAACCCCAAAACCCCAAAACCCCAAAACCCCAAAACCCCAAAACCCCAGCTTATTGTACTAGGCTGAAACTGAGATTTAGGATTATTGAGTGAAGAGGTGGCTTGTGGGAGGGAAGTTTGGAAGGAGGATAGGGCAAGAGGGTTGTTGGGTAGGGGAGAAGGCTTGGTAAGGGGATTTTTGGAGGAAGAGGGAGTAATGGGGGATTAGGGAGTGGATTTTGGAGGTTTATGGAATTTTTGGTTTGTTTGAGGGAGTTTTGGGGAGTTTGTATGGAGATTATAGACATTTTAGATTCTTTTGAATAATTTTTTATATTTTTGGATTTGTAAGAATATTAACCTGAAATGATCCTTTTAGTTAATATTCACATTTAAAATATCGATACTATCAAAAATTAGTCTACTTATATCTCTCATTCAGTGGACCTCTCTTCATTTCATCCTAGCAATAGCTGGCCCACAAAGCAAACTTTCCTCCCTTTCAAAATTTCCCAAAGACACATAACCCCTAAAATAGCTCTTCTTCACCTCCATAACCTCACTCATTCCTATCCCTCTCTTTCAGCTTCTCAAATTCACTGACAAATAATACCACCTCTTCCCCTACCACCTTCCCTCTCTTCCACCAATAACCCTACTTCCCCCTTCTTCGTCTCAACAGCCTTCCATCCCACCTCATCTCCCTAGCCTGGGCTTGAACCGTGTAGAAATTTCTGATGGTAAAAACCCGGGGTTTTAGGAGGAGAGATTAGGACGTGAGCGCTTTCGAAAGTTTTGAGTTGCTCGATTTTGGGGTGAGGCTTTTTGAGGAGTGGAGGGTAGAGGAGAGGGATGGGTTTGTTATGGGGATGGGTGGTAGTAATGGGGAGTTTAGGAAATGGAGAAGTCTTGAATTATTCGATTCTTCTAAAGTTCTGAAGGCTTGAAAAGATTACAGTTGGGAGTTCAGCAGCTTTTTTAGATTTAGTGAGTTTTATTTATAAGCTTTTATTCTTATTTTACAGTCTTGTCAAAGAGTTATACAAATATTGTTCCTATTATAAGAGAAGAATTTATTCACTTTATGAGAATGGGAAAAGTAGAATTCAGCACTCAATTTTAAGAAAATTTTTTATTGGATAACTGGTCCTCAATAAAACTTTAAATTGCAGTCTCAACTGTGAAAAGATGAAGAGACACTTTGATGACCAAGAAAATTAATATTTCTGTAACCTGAGAAAGTTTATATCCAGTTAAAGACCGAAAAGTCTAACCCTGGTTGAAAAATTCATAACTACTACTCAAATTATTAAGAATTTTAACAGTATTTTACTAACATTGGAGCTCTTAGGAGCTTTTACTCAAGCCCTAAGCATCAGAGAGGATATTTTTCATTTTTAGGCTTCTTTTATGACTTCTTTAAAAATTAGTAAAAAGGTAAATTTTTCTAAAATTTTTGAAACATAATATATAAAGAATCTTGTTCAAGAATTTATAAAAATAAAATATGGCAGAAAACAAAAAAATTCAAGATATTTTTGAGTCTTGCAATATACAAGATGAGGCTGACTCCCCTAGATCGGTTAATTTTGTGAAAGTCAGCGAGCATAACTCTAACCCTTTCTTGATGTATAAAGGAAGCCTAAAGTTAAAAAATCCATTCCAACATACTAAGTTCTACCAGGAAGATGAACTTTTTAAACCCTCTCTAATGCATAAAGAAGAAATGTTTGATGAACTTGAACAGTGAGGGAAGCCACGCTTTAGTACACAAGCCTGACCGATGGATATCGGCTTATCAAATTTTCAGAATCTTTCTACAAAGGATAAGATAAGGAAGAGTGTCCATAAGAGGAGAATGCCATCTACGTTGATCCTTAAGCAACTACAAGTCAGGAAATCCTTACAATAGAAGAGATAGTCTAACTCCAATTAAATAATTCTTATATAAGACTTACAAGTAAAATTAAGCTCCTTTTCTGAAATTGGTACAAATTCATAAATGATTATATGTGAAAGAGGCAAATAGCTTCGAGCTCGTAAGAATCTTCTGAAAATTTTAACTGGGTCACTTTAGAATCAAACAAAAAGAATTTTTCTAAATTTCCCCATAGCGTACATTTATGAGAAATTTGCACCAAAATGAGATTATTTTTACAGTCATTTTTTCACACTTTGACAAAATGGATGAAATTTATAATCCTATTAGAACCAGCCTTGTTCTAGAAATTTAAAAAGAGCTTTATTGATTAAAATCTTACTTGCAATACTAATGGGCACTGCTGGATTTCTGATTATCCAATGGAACGATAAATTGTCTAAATTAGTTTCCTGGAAAAAGAGTAATTTTTATAATTCATAGTGTACTAGGCAATTCAAAAGCCAAATTTGTGATGAGCAATGTTTTAGATTTTTATTAGACCACTCTCATGCCAAAATCAGTCAGAAAAATATTATTATCACTGTGTCTCCACTAATATGAGTTACCCAAAGAGTAACTGTAAAGTATATAACCCCCTTTATTGTTTTTCCAGACTCTAATCCAACCTCTTTTACTTAGTTGGGGTTTTGGGGTTTTGGGGTTTTGGGGTTTTGGGG